CACCATCATCATCAGCAGCAGCATCAGCATCATCATCATCTTCACTCACTCACTCATTCACTCAATTTCTCACTCACTCACTCACTCACTGACTCACTCATCTCAGGCGGCAGCCTCGCTTGTGAGTGAATTGAGAGGAAGTCTCAGGCGGGAGCCCCCTCCCTATGGGGCCCGAACTTCATGTTCGAATCCGAGGCGGGTCATCGGACTCCTGTCACTGTCGTCACATTTGGTCTCCTCAGGCCTGAGTATGGCGGAAGTCTCAGGCGGGAGCCTCGTCTGAGTGAATTGCGAGGAAGTCTCAGGCGGGAGCCCCCTTGGTATGGGGCCCGCAGCTCATGTGGGTAATCTGAGGCGGGTCGTCGGGATCCTGCAACTGTCGTCACTTCTGGGCTCCTGAGGCATAATGATAGAACAAGTCTCAGGCGGGAGCTTCGTCTGTGAGTGAAGTGCGAGGAAGTGTCAGGCGGACCTGCCCGTGGGGCCCGCAGCTCATGTGAGCAACTTGAGGCGGGTCATCGGGCTCCTGTAACTGTCGTCACTTTTGGGTTCTCGAGGCCTGGGTCTTGCGGAAATCTCAGGCGGGAGCCTTGTTCGTGAGTGAATTGAAAGGAAGTCTCAGGCGGGAGCCCCCTTGGTGTGGGGTTCGCAGCTCACGTGTGTAATCCGAGCGGGCCATCGGCCTCCTGCAACTGTCGTCATTGTTTGGATCCTGGTGCCTGAATCTGGCGGAAGTCTCCGGCAGGACTTTTAGCGAATTGCGAGGGCGTCTCGGGCGGGAGAGCCCCCCCCGGTATGGGGCCCACAGCCCGTGGGAGTAGTCCGAGGCGGGTCATCGGAATCGTGCAACTGTCGTGACTTCTGGGCCCCCGTGGCATGAATGTTGATCAGAGCGTGAATAACCTCCCCCGCTTTCGCTTCCAGACAAAACCAAGCCATACCACGCGCCTCCTTGTCAGGCGGCCTGACCAGTACAGGCCGTAGTTTGGCATCGTTTGGTATCTCTTGGAAGCGAGGGTGGTCAAAAGCGAGGTAGGTTTTTTTTCCTCCTAGTTGGGGAAGTCTCAGGCGGGAGCCTCGTCTGTAAGTGAATTGCGAGGAAGTCTCAGGCGGGAGCCGCCTCCCCATGGGGCCCGCTGCTCGTGTGAGCAATGCGAGCATGGGGCCCGCAGCTCAGCTCATGTGAGGTATCCGAGCGTGTCATCGGAATCCTTTCACTGTCGTCACTTCTTGGCCTTTTCAAGCTTGAGTATGGCGGAAGTCTCAGGCGGGAGCTTCGTTTGTGAGTGAAGTGCGAGGAAGTCTCGGGGTGGAGCCACCTCGGTATGGGGCCAGCAGCTCATGTGTGGAACCCGGGCGTGTCATCGGAATGTAATTGTCGTTACTTTTGGCTTATGCAAGCTTGAATATGGAGGAAGGCTCAGGCGGGAGGTTTGTTTGTGAGTGAGTTGCGAGGGAGTCTCAGGCGGGAGCCCACTCGGTATGGGGCCCGCAGCTCAGTGAGTAATCCGAGCGGGTCATCGGAATCATGCAATTGTCGTCACTTCTGGCGGCTTCTTCAAGCTTGAGCATGGCTGAAGTCTCAGGCGGGAGTTTCGTTTGTGAGTGAATTGGGAGGAAGTCTCAGGCGGGAGCCCCCCTCGGTATGGGGCCCGCAGCTCATGTGAGTAATCCGAGCGTGTCGTCGGAATCCTTTCACCGTCGTGATTTTTTGGCTTTTCAAGCTTTAATATGGCGGAAGTCTCAGGCGGGAGTTTCGTTTGTGAGTGAAGTGCGAGGAAGTCTCGGGGTGGAGCCACCTCGGTATGGGGCCCGCAGCTCATGTGTGGAACCCGGGCGTGTCATCGGAATGTAATTGTTGTTATTTCTTGCGTTTTCAAGCTTGAGTATGGCGGAAGTCTCAGGCGGGAGCTTCGGCTGTGAGTGAATTGCGAGGAAGTCTCGGGTGGGAGCGCCCTTCGGTATGGGGCCCGCAGTTCATGTGAGTAACCCGAGCTGGTCGTCGGCCTCCTGCGACTGTCGTCACGCTTGCGCCCCTGAGGCATGAGCCTGGGGGAAGTAGCAGGCGGGAGCCTCGTCTGTGAATGAATTGAAAAGAAGTCTCAGGCCTCCCTATGGGGTCCACACTTCATGTTCGAATCCGAGGCGGGTCATCGGAACGATGAGGGTTATTTCCAGATTAGCCGAGGGGATTATTCTCATGTGGGGTCCAACCGTCGAAGTAATGTTCTAGAGAATGGATTGCTGAGTGCGATGGCGAGAGCTTGGGTTTGCTTAGTTGGCGCCGTGCGGAAGACTTTTATGTTCACCCATTTCAGTTCTGCACTTACTACACTATCGCCAAAGCACCAGTTGATGCGCGCACTGTGTTTTTTTTGCATCCGCATGTGTCCTACGACCTATCCTGCAGCCACGACGTTGCGTCCACTCTTCTTGTCTTCACGCTATTCCTAGCATTGCAGATATGTGGTTCTCGCACTACGGGTTGTCGTCGTATGAC